TACAATTCTATATTTTATTAATGTTTCAGAGACCAAATCAAAATTGCAGTTTATCAATATGATTGTAATTTTGTATAATATGTAAATACCTTAGGCCTAAATTAAATTAATTATAATATAGTATAGTATGAATCATCGTTATAGTCATGCATATGAAAAAATAGACTTGCATAATTTTATATGAAACATTAATATATTACACTTTCATATTTAAAAATAGTATATACATTTTTATGTAAAAGAAAATGTCATAAAAAATATCTGACCATCCACATCAACAAAGAAGAAATTCTTTATAAACTCAACATGTAAGGAAAACTAACACAGTTTTTTTTTGGTTAAGAAATTTTTTAAAATATAATATAATATATATTATTAATTTAATTATAAAGTTTAATCAAAATATATATGTAGTGTAAGAAAATATCTAAGTTAAATTACAAGCAAATGCAAATAAACCTTTTATACTTTTTGATTTTTGAGACACTCGACATACTTTGTTTAATAGAATGAGTAACATAAAATTGTATTTGTATATTTATTCATCTACACTTCTATAGTTTACAGATGCTTTATGGACCAAATCAAAATTGCAGTTTATCAATATGATTGTAGTTTTGTATAATATGTAAATATTGTTTTTATTATAGAAATTATAGTTCTTTTAAGGATTTGTAAGAGTTTTCAATATTGATTATTGTTTTGTGTATAAGACAGCTAATGAGAAAAAAAAAACACTACACGAACACAACTGAAACTAAAAAAAAAATCTAAATTAATTGGAATAGTAATCAGGTGCTTCAGTTGTAGTCATATGTTTAATAAGTTTTTTCTTAAATGAAAAAAATGTTTTAAATTAAATATATCACATTTAGTTATATATCACATTTAGTTAAAACAAAAATAATTTAAATAATAGTTTGAAAGCTAATGAACAGCAATGAGTTTATATACAAATATTAATTTTTAATTTAACAGTATATTTTCATATATATCAAGTTAGTTAATTTTTAGATTAAGTCATAGTACATTTTTAGATACGTTAAAATATTTAAGATGTATAACCACATCAAAAAAATATTAAAAATCAAAAATTATATATAAAATATTTATTTAAAATTAAAAATAATTAACTTAAATGATAATCAAATATTTATAAAATAATTCGCGCATAGCGCGGAAACATCTCTAGTATTTGTAAGAGACTTAGAAGAGTATCTCTCCAGAGATGCTCTATATAATCTAAATATAATTTTTGAATATAAATTAAATCAGTTACATGAAGACAAGTGTTATATGAGTATCTCAAGATATTTCAAGAGACATTTACATAATAAGGCACTTTTTCAATCCTTCTTACATAAAAGAGCACTTATCTCAACTAGAGTACTTTTTTGATGTAATAAGTCTATACTATCCTTTCTCCTGTTTTCCTCTTCCTCACATTTTTTTCCTTCTTCTCTTTTTCTCTTCCTTCTTGGTCTCTTCTCTTTTTCTCTTCCTTCTTCTTCTTTTCTCTTTTTTCTCTCTACTCTTTTTCTCCTTTTTCTCTTTTTCTCTTTCTTCCTTCTTCGCCTCTTCTCTTTGTCTCTTCCTTCTCTTTCTCTCTTTCTCTTCTCTTTTTCTTTTTCTCCTTCTTCTCTTCTTCTCTTTTTCTCTTTCTTATATTTTTCTTCTTTGCTGTTTGAATTATAGCATTCATTGGTCCATGCATATATGGATGTGGATACTATATATGACCATCCACGAACTATCATCCATAGATATATTTTGAATGATTAAATCGATTGCATCCACGAAATTTCATCCATAGAAGGGTTACATTTGAATTCAAGGGTTAGCCATCCACGAACTATCATCCATAGATATATTTTAAATGATTAAATCGATTGCATCCACGAAATTTCATCCATGGAAGGGTATACATTTGAATTCAAAGGTTTAGTGTTCACGTGGATATATGTATATGGACGTGTATACAAGAGATTCCATTTGAAGTATACCTTATATGTCCATTCATAGTTGATAGAAACTGAAACTAAACTCCGATAACGAGTCAATTAAACATCCACACAATATCATCCATGTGTGTTTAGTGTTTATATCGTGGATACCATATATGGCCATCCACAAATTGTCATCTATGGATGGATGTATTTGTGTGACTAAATCGATTGTATCCATGAACTCTCATCCATGGAAGATTTATCGTAAATGAACCTCCATCCACGAATATTGTCTTCCACGATTTTGATGCAAATTTTTAGGCTCTGATTATCTCCATGTCTGCTCATTTGTTTTTTTATTGGTGTAGGAGAGTCTTTTATTTTTTTATTGTGGAAAAATAAATATCTTAATTGAAGAATAATAAATTGTAATATATAAATAATGTTAAAGGTATAATAGAGAAAACACATATAAAGAAACAAAGGAAAAAGGAAGGAAAGTACCCTGATTGGACAAAGTGCTCTTTCTTGTAATTAGAATTTGAAAAAGTATTCTTTTTGTAATATTCTCATATTTCAAAGTCTCTCATTTGAGATACTCTTTCTCTCTTCCTTTTTTTTACCCATATAATAAAATACTAGTATTTTCTCTTTCTATTTTGTGAGATACCAATGTTGAGATACCATTGATAAAGGTGTTCTAGAACATGCCTATTAACAATTTCTCAAGTCATATCTTAGCATTAAAGTATTTGAAAATTAAAAAGTATCAAAAAGAAACAAGAGACTATTTTTATATGAGAAACTCTTAGAACTATATCTCAACTCTTTATGATACTTGTCACTTAATTATTTGTTCATTTTTTATAAGAATTAAATTTAATTATAAGAATAAATGAAATAAAAATATTGATTTTCTGAATATTTAAATATCCAATTTGAGTTTCTAATGGATGAATATGCTTTTAGAACATCTACATTTCTAGTTTCTCAATAGTTATATGACAATAAATAGTATTATTTAATTATGAGAGTTTTTCAAAAAGTGAAAGATCCACTCCAAAATCTATCATTTGTTAAAACATATTCAAACATTGATAAAGATCTCAGAGAGGTTTCAAGGTTTGCACAAGCAAAGTCAGTAGCATGGTTTTTTAGCCCAACAGAATGAGCTTAATATAGAAAATTTAAGTTCCCAAAATGAGGAGACAATGGTTTTTTTATGATTTAACATGTCAAACGGATAGATCATGAAAGAGCACAGCAGGTAATGTTGGGTTAAGATGATATTGCTACAGACTAAAATCAGATACAACGTTGATGGGAGCAAAAAAAAAATATATGACGAAGTATTTCTTTGTTTCACATAGAATTGAACGCATTGATATGGACTATGCATTGTATGTTCCATGTTGGAAGACTAGTTATAACTTTCGTTACTGACTATTCCGAACTGGTGAAGATGGTGTCTAAATCATAGGAATGCCCAGCTTCCGTTTTACACTTGGAGGAATTTGCGAATAGTAAGAGGAATTTACTTCCTTCTCGATATCACATATCCCACATGCTCAAAACACAAAGGCATACAAGCTGGCACAGAATGCATGCGACTATCTTTATTTTCTAAACTATGTAAACTCTACTCCATTGATTTGGATTCCAAACCGTTTTAAGAGAAAAAGTTGTTAATAAAAAAAAAATCTATCACTCTTTCATCTTTTTTGAAGATTTTCATAATTAAATACATATTTATTATTTAAGAACTTATGAAAGAGTGATTAGCAATCTGATGGTTTTATCTCTTTCTTTTCTCTTTTTCAATTTTTTTAATTATTTTAATCATAAAATATTCTTTTAAGTATCTCAATAAGATATCTTGATCTCTTCAGACTTTCTAGCTTTTCATACATTCTAAATTTTTTTACTATTCTATAGATAATCACATCATATAACATATTTTTTTAATTCTTATTATTGTTTAATATAATATTAATTTTTTTTACTTCGATTCAATTTTTTCCTACTTTTTCTAAACATTTAATGTCTTTTTCTTATCTCTTATTCGTAAATGATCTAAAATTTAGTATAATACATTATATTAATCACCAATTTCTTTTGTTTGTTTTGCAAAATTCAAGCTAATCCAAAAAAAAAAACACATATTAAATCCAAAAAATAATTTTTTTACCAAATGTACAACAAAAAGATGAAAAGATCCAATATTCCAAAATTTAAATAATGGAGTGAAGATTCACATCTTTACTGTAATTTTTTGATATAAAAATGTCTTAAAACCTTTTGACATTAAAATAATGACTGTGATTTAACAAACAAAATTACAAACTATTGACTTCAAAAGTTTAAAAAAAAACGGAGAGAAAAATCACTAAAGTGTGATTGGTGGAAAGAAAAACTTATAAACTTTAACAAAAAAGAAAAAACCTCAACAGTTCCAACTAATCCAAATTACCATAATTAAGACAATATCAAGTTACGATGAGCGAAGGCTATTCGCATTCGGTTGTGTTATTGACTATGCATATATTTTCAACATAAATCTTACGAAGAAACCCAAAAGACAGAACTCTCTCGCTAACTCTCTGTGTATATAAAGCCTTTTTGTCTCTACATTTTTCCACACTAATCTAAGTCTTCTTCATGCACTTTGAATTTTGATCACTAGGGTTTCTCTTCATCTAGTAAGGCTCTGATTACACTGGAACCTCAGATTTTTTGTGCGATTCTTTTGTGTTTGTGGTGTGGGTTCGTATATTTGGGTGTTAAAAGGTTCTATTTCTACTTTTCAGGATCGTATCGTTTGATTGCAATTTAATTTGTCATCATCTCAATGGCAAACCAAGCTGATAACAAGTTCAGTTGGGTGATAAAGAATTTATTCTCATTAAAGAGGTGGTGTTACTCTGTTCCATTCGTGATTGGTGGATGCAAATGGTAAAAAAAGAAATTGTTCGTCTATTTAGACAAACATCTCTCTCTCTCTATCATCTACATTTTTGATGAATTACTACTTTCTTTGTTTCTCGGTCGTGTAGGCGTCTTGGCGCCTTTCTCCAATTAGATAAGGTTGGTTACTTCCCTCTGTATCTTGAAGTTTGTGATCGTAACTTATTGCCGTCTGGATGGAGGAGACACGCAAAAGTTCGGCTAAGTATTGTTAATCAACGTTCTCAAGAACTCTCATTACTGAAAGGTAATCATTTTTTTCTTATTCCTTTCACTGAATGATTTCAAGAGTCTTTGTCTCGGGATCACTATCAGTAACTGAGTAATCATATACACAAAATAATTACTTCAAGAATAAAATTGCTACATTCGCTTCATCCCAACTTTATATAGTTCTCTTTATTTGATGTATACGAATAAAGAGATGCGTTATGTTTTCCTTGATGTTACAGAAACAGAACAATGGTTTGATGAGGAAGCTTTCTACTGCAACTTCGTGTTTTCAAATACCGATGATGGAGTATTTCATGTAGATGGAGAACTTAAGATTGTTGCCGAGGTTGATGTTCTTGAAGCTATTGGGAGACTAGATGTACAAGATGAATTTAAAGAGGCAATTCAAGATTTAGAGGAATATAATTATGATCCAGAGACTAAGGGTTTACTCATGAAGACTCAACAAGTAATGGAAAGCATGGATGTTAATGGGTTTCAAATTCTACCTTACCAGGTATGAAATTTTAAGAATGGAATTCAACACAAATACAAGAGACAAGAGACATGCGACTGTCTCCTCTCACTATGGCCTGATCAGTTTCAGTTAAATCTTTCTGTTATTGGTTTATTTAAGCATCTATTTTCACCCTTACAGGTAAGATCTGTGAGCCGTATCTTTGTAAAGCATCCAGGAATTGCATCAGAATTTCGTCCGAAGAACCAACATCTTAGGTCAGCTTACATGAATTTCCTCCTCGGCCTAATCGAGACATTGTGTCAGCCAGCTCAGGAGCTTTCCAAAGATGATTTAGCCCAGGCACATGTTGCGTTGGTCTGCATGATGTATGCAGGGTTTAAGGTGGATTGGTTGGAGAAAAAGTTGGACCAAGTGTCGGAAAGGAAGAAAAAAGAGGAGGTTTGTGCGGCCCGTCTGCAAGAAATGGAGGAACAGATTCAGCAGAGTAAGCAAAAGGAGTTAAATGAATTGAAGCGGAAGTGGTCAGACATGGAAGCTCTAGTAGACAAAGAGAAAGCAGAGGTTTCGTCCGCTAGATATCGTCTCTCTTTCGATGATGTTGTTTGATGTCAGTTATTTCCCGTCGTTCTCTTGGGAGTTAGGTTTCTTTTGGTGTTTGGGTTTTCATAAATAAGTGTCTTGTTGTGCTTGGGAATATTTAAAACTTTGTGACGGAATTTATTGCATTCTGTTCAAGTATTTTTGGCTTTACGTTTTGTTTGTTTCTGATCTGTTCGGTTGAGTTTAGGCTTTAGATTAAAGTAATTTGTTTCATTATGTTTCTTGCTGTAAAAGTAATATCTTTTGAGTGTGATAAACGGCAATCAAGTGACTCAAATATGCATTTGATTGATATCTCGCACTTGGCTCTGCAAATATATATATACTGGACGATCTAAACAAAGCAGACCGCACGGTTTTGGATCTGACAAAAGCAGGCTTGAAGTTGCATTGGTTGCGTCAGAAACTAGATGAAGCTTTCTTGAAGAAGGAGAAAAAACGGGCCATTAGGGCACGAATCAGAGTACTTGAGGAACAAGTCAAGAAGCGAAAGCTGACTTTGTCGGATTTAGAATCTGATCGAAAGAAACAGAAAGCTGCAGCTTTGGCTGCTGAAACTCCATTTGATTTCAGCGATATTGTTTGAAACTAATTCAAACTTTTAGTTGAAGTTCTCTGTTTCTTTCTTTAGCTTTTCATATTTCAATACAGTATCTTTTTAAAGAGAGTGTCTACGTATAAATCATGTCTCATATATACCTCATTTTTACACAGTAAATAAATAAGAAACGAATGTTGGAAAAACACCCTGAGATTGCATCATCGTCCCGTCCAAAGATTCAGCAGCACGATAGTATCCTCATCTGCTTGATCGAGATGCTGACCCAGTCGATTCAGGGGGTCTCCAAGGATGATCTGGCAGACGCTGATGCTTCTCTTGCGTACCTGATTAACGTCGGGTATAAATTGAATTGGTTGGGAAAGAACCTGAAAACACTGTCAGAGAAGAAGGAGAAGGAGGAAGCTGGTGGCAGAAGCGCTCAAACCTGGAAGCTCAGCTAGAGAATGAGAATCGGATGCAAGAGATCGAGGAAGAGTTAAATGGTTTGAAGCAGAAGTGCTTAAATATGGAAGCTGAGTTAGAGAAGGTGAAAGCAGATGTGGCAATGGCCAGAGCTCCACTCTCATTCGGTGATATTCAGTATTATTGAGTTCTTAACTCATTTGAATTTTAATAATGTTTGGTCTTTCAGTCATGTATTGGTTTCGAATTTGAGTCAGTTCTTTAAAAAAAAAATTGAATAATAAGTGACCTAACTTGGGTTGGAAGTTTTTTTGCATCTTAAACTAAAATGAGTACTCGTTTCGTATCTCTAGTGCATTTTTGTTTAATGTCATTGCCTCATTGATGTGTGGCACGCGAAGAGTCCGGTCTTTATAAGTCATTAATTCTTAATTAATTATGACAGATTATCAAGACACAAAACGAGTACCATAAAACTCCACGTTTCAGGACTCGCATTTGACATCACTTTGTTCTTGGGAATGAAGAAGAGACCATAAAACTCCATGTTTCATTTCATTAATAGTCACGGTCCAATAACAGGTGTTGATGACTGGGCTTCCTCATGCTATTTTGTGAAACATTCGTGTTAAATGAAGGATATTTACTAGCCTGTATACAACTACCAGATACTTAGTTCCCGGTCATTTACTAATCTCTTATGCGCTTCGAGGAGCCGAATTGATTCGCGTTCCTCTTGTCTTGGTAATCAACCATGGATGCTTATAAAGCTGTGTCGCTCATCGCCTCATGTGTTACAGTACAGCGTTCGTGTTTCTCTCTCTTTCGACGTAACTCTGAGGTGTAAATACTTGGCCATTTTGATCATTCAGACTTCATTCTTATTTTTTATTTTCTGAATCTGTTTGTGTTTCTTCCACAGCGGAATAGTACTCTTTTTTAATAATAATTTTTTCGTTTTATATACAAATTTGTGTTTGTAGGAGTCGTAACAAAAATCAATGGTGGACCAAGTTGATAAGAAGTTCATTTGGGTGATTAAGAATTCCTCATCTTTGCAATCTGAGTTTATATATTCTGATAAATTTTTGACCGGTGGTTGCAAATGGTAAGAAGATTATACAACTTCTTTTCTAATGTTTTTTAATTCGTCCGATTTAGGTATTAAAATATTGGGCATCCACTGTTTTCTTTGTGTTTTGATAGTATGCGTCTTAAGGCCAAGGAAAATAATAAGCATGATGATTTGTCTCTGTATCTGGAAGTTGCTGATTCTAAATCTTTACATTTGGGATGGAGAAGACACGCAGAATTTTCCTTTACTATAATAACTCAATTTGTGGAATGTCTCTCCCAAATGAGAGGTGATTATACTCTCGCACGTTATATCTCTATTATAAGGCGGACAACCAGAAAGTTAGTATTGCATGTGGTTATATATATGTTGTGGGACTTTGGCTACTGTGAGATTCTGTCTATAGGTTGATGTTTAATGCACTGGAGTATAGCTATGTCATGCCTGGTGCCTTATTCTGGAGTAAATGACGATTACATGAAATCTTTTTTCCTGATTTTTCAGAAACACAACATTGGTTTAATGAAAAAGAAGGAGACTGGGGTTTCACATCCATGTTTCCCCTTCACAAACTTGGGTTTCTTGTGAACGGAAATGGTAAGATTGTTGCCTAGGTAGATGTTCTTGAAGTTGTTGGGAAATTAGATGTGTCTGAGAAAATTTCATCACTTAAAGAAAGCATGGATGTCAACGGGTTTCAAATTCTTCCTTCAGGTAAGAATTTGTTTTTCATAAACACACAAATATGTTTTGTGGTTCTGTTTCCGGATTTCCCTAAATTTCTATGGGTTCACATTATAAGTCATTCTCTCACTATCAGGTAGAGTTCGTGAACCGATTGTTTGAGAGATACCCAGATATTGCATCAAAATTTCGTCCAAAAATTCCACATTTGAAGACAGCTTACATGAACGTCCTACTCAGCCTGACCATAATACTCTGCCAGTCGCCTGAAAATCTTTCCAAGGATGATCTTGTAGATGCATATGCTGCACTGGGATCTGTCAGTGATGCTGGATTTAAGTTAGGGTGGTTGGAGAAGAAACTCGACTAGTTGTCAGAGAGGAAGGGGAAAGAGGAAGCTTGTGAGACACGGATACTAAAAATAGAGTCAGAGTTGAAGGATTTTAAGCAGAAGTGCTCAGACCTCAAAACTCTGTTGGATGAGGAGAAAGCGGAGTTGTTGGCAGCTAGGGCTCCACTGTTGTACGATGATGTTTTTTGATGATTTGAATTCTTAGTTATCAGAATTGGTGAAAGAGGAAACAAAGCAACGAGATTTTAACTCATAATCACTTGTTCTCATTTCTGCCAAATAAACGGTGTTAGAGAATGGGAATTTATTAGTATATTTTTTTGTATTTTTTGAAGATTAGTGTTTTGCAAATTATTTAAGGGAAGCTAATTATTTTTCTTGCAATCTATCCTTTAGAATTGAAGCAAAAAAATTGTTCTTAGGTTTGTCAATATAACCTAATTAGTCTTATATCACCCACCTATAATACTTTGTAACCCGACTGGACCAGCCAGTTTGTCCAGTTAAACTGGGATCTGGTCATTTATCCGAGTTAGTTCTACTCTTCAAATCCAAAATTTATTAATCCGATAAAATTCAGAAAAACCCGCGAATAACTCATAACCCAATGATCCATTGACCCAGTTAAACCAGTAATTTAATTATATTTAATAAAAAATCTCTTTAATATAAATAATTCCTAATTAAATTATGAGACAGTTTACAATTAGACACACTTTAGAAGACACTTCCACAAAAACTTTGGACTCCGCGATAACAGTTATACCCTTAATGAGAAGGTAAAAAATTGTGGGGTTTTATTGTCGGCGTCTTTTGCCGGAGCTTGGGCAAATTGACCATCGGAGATCTATATTCTTTAGTAATTGGCTTTGGCTTTCTAATTAAAATGGCGCAGCAAGAGGCTGGTGAATCTAAACGGTTGTTGGGGGTTGTTAGGCTTTGATTTGTTTATATTCATTGTCGCTGGCAACGCTAATAAGTCGGAGTAACGTTTTGGCGAGATGTAGCTATCAATAATCATGGAGCGTAAGTAATCAATAAGAACATATTATATATACCATTATAACCTTCTGGCCGAGTGAAGGTCGTAGTAGTCGGCTTAATCAGCAACCTCCAATTGCGTAGTGATTCGTTGAGTGTATGTTGTCCACTAGCAGTGTCCATTCGGTGAGAATCTGTTTTTATTAATGAATGAATGAGATTATTTAGGCACTCTTTTTGATGGTTTTGGCGGTTCAGTGGCTTTGTCATCTCAAATTATCAAATGGACAGTAGTGTAGTCCGCTAGAAATTAATGAAGAATGTACTTTGGGGTTTTTTGTGTGTACACATGGGATGGGTAGGCGTGGAAAAAGTTGTGCAAAGCAAAAGATGATTAGATATGTAGTTTGCCTTAAATGCGGTTAGGTGGGAGTGTTAAATGTTTAAGAAGTTTTTTTTTCCTGAGGAAAGTTCCGATGGAAGAGCATTGTTTGGTGCTTTATGGAGAGTGGAGTTGTGGAGGCAATGGAAAATGGGATTTCGTGATAGACAATAACAGAATGTCTAGGGTTTTGCAAATAGAAGAGGGGATGACGGTGGCTGAGCTGAAGAAGAAAGTTATCGAGGAGTTTTTCGGAGGCAGTTCTGCCGGTATCTCTGTCTCGCTTAGTTATTGGCCGCCAAATACAACTGAGTTGGCGACAGGGATAACGACTCTGCCGGTGTTGGTCAGCAATGCTGGTGGGCTTGTATTTTTTTGTCATTTTGAAAGTCTACCGCAATATGAACTTGTTCGTTACATTTGGTATGGAGGTTGAGGATATCGGTAGATCCAGAGTTATGGAGACTATTCGTGGGTACATCACGCTGTCGTTTAGTAGCAAGCGTCTTGGTGATAGTGGCGAAGGCTTTGCGTCTTTAAAATCTGTTTCTGCAAAGGGGAGCATCTCGGCTGTATATAACGCCTACGCCACTCCGACTCTGTCTTTGAAGAGGCGTTGAAACTTTGACTGCGATTCCCGAGGAGCAAGCGCTAGTTCGACTGCGATTGGGACATGCAACTTTGATTTCAATGACGAGGAGCTCCTAAATGTAGTAGATGAAGCTGAAGGCAATTTCCAACGTAGCAGTGGCCGTAAGGAGGTCGAATCCCCGGCAGAAGAGTCTGACTCAGATGTATGTTGTGCAGAAGTAGGCGATGCTATGGAAGTAAGGGCTGTAGAGTACGACACAGAGTTTTTGGAGCCCCTAATAGACGGCGTACTTGGTGGCTTTGATGCAGCGGATGTTATGTATCCTAGTAGAGAAGGTTTCAATGCTAAGGTTGTGGAGTTTGGGGTTAGGTGCGACATCCTCCGAGTGGGTGGTGGATGAAGCGAATAGAGTGGACAATGCACCGTTGGACAGTGAAACCGCGGCAAGGATCAGTGTACAAAAGTCCGTGGACACCTATCCAAAACTTGGAAATGTGGACTCATCTGGACGGAGTGCTGGTGGACATGGTAGTGGTAGTGTGTCGGCCGTGGACACACTTGAGGCCGTGGATGTGCATGTTCTCGAGAGCATCGAAAACGAAGAATTTGACATTCTTCCGCTGTTTGATGACACAAAGTACGATAATGAGGATATTCCTGATCTTGACATTGACTGTGCGGAGGAGGGAATTTACGAGGGAATGATGTTTTCCAGCAAGGTTGAGTGTCGTATCGCCCTAGCAATATTTGCTATAAAAGGAACATTCACCTCCAAACAAACGCGTACAAAGAGGCACTACTTTATACTTAACTGCACGGATAAGCGGTGTGACTAGAGGGTGAAAGCGCAGGAAGTTGGTGATTTCAGGTACTATGTTATCAAGAAAATTAATCTTGACCATACGTGTGATATCGACATGAGAAATGTGTGCAAGAAAAAAGTAACTTCTCGTGTAATTGCAGCTGTTTTAAAATCCAGATATGGTAATGTGGAGTATGGTCCTCGGTCGGCGCAGCTGCAGGAGCTGGTGTTGGAGAACATGTGGCTTGATACGTCTTACATGAAGTACTATAGGGCGATAGGAATGGTTGAGACGTCTCTGAGGGGGTCTGCTGAGGACTCATACATGAAGCTTCCAATGCATTTGCATTTGTTGAAACTTGCTAATCCTGGAACGGTTGCAGATTTAGAAGTTGCAGTGGACGAGGACGGGCTGAATCGTTTTCTGTATGTCTTCGTAGTGTTTGGTGCCTCTATCCAGGGATTTAGTAAGCTTCGTCCTGTTGGGGTGTTGGATGGAACACACTTGTGGGGTAAGTACAAAGGTGTCCTCATTATTGCTTGCGGTCAAGATGCAAATTTCCAAGTTTTCCCTTTAGCTTATGCTGTAGTGGGTGGCGAGAACGATAATTCGTGGTCCTGGTTTCTGAAGAAGCTGGAGAGGATCCTCGCAGACAGTCCGAGTCTGACAATAATTTCGGATTATCATCTATCCAATTATAAAGGGTTGAAAGTTGCTTATCCACAAGCACACCATGGATGCTGCATTGTCCATTTAGCGAGGAATGTAAACTTTCGTTTTTGTAGCAAGGGTTTGGCGAAATTGGTGTTGATGGCTGCATTTACGTGGCGTGTTGGGACATTTAAGGTGGTGTATGAGAAGATCAAGTCTAGCAAAAGCGAGTGCGCAAAGTATAGGTATGGCTCATTGGACACGAGTATATTGCAAGGGTGAGCGTTACAACCTTATGACTAGCAATGTTTGTGAGCAGTTAAATAAGGCGCTAAAGAAGGGTAGAGGGTCTCCCATTGTCGAGTTGCTGAGGTTCATACAGGAGATGATGACGAAATGGTTTGCGGCAAGGTGGAAGAAATCATTGCGGTGTCGTGGGGCTTTGCCGCCTGAGATAGAGAAAGTTATAACTCAACATTCGAAAGACGTTGTTGGGAGTAAGTTAAACAAGATAACGGACTGGAGTTGCCAGGTGGTTGGGAAGTTTGATGAAAGGAACCATGTTAGTGTGTCAGAGAAGAGGTGTTCTTGCAAGAAGTTTGATCGCCTATTGATCCCTTGTGGGCATGCGTTGCTGGTTGGTGATAAGCTAGGCTTGCCGCCTAATTCACTAGTTGGGGTTGTCCACAAAACGGTGGTTTGGCAAGAGACGTATTCTGGTGTGATAAACTCATTTGGTAACTATGCAGACGTGGAGGTTCCTGCAGCCGTTACTGAAATGGTATTGCTACCACCTCGCACGCGTAGGCCGTCTGGGAGGCGTAAGGAGGGGAAGATTCCGACAGTTGGAGAGATACCGGTTAGTTTGTTGAAACCTATTTCACGAGATAACATGTACTTATCTGCATTTTGAAATAAAAGACTTTTTAGACTACTTACCGATTGATATAAGAAGAAGATAGCCCGACCTTACTTCGACGACTGAAGGCTGTTGTCGATGTTGCAGTATGCTTGTAGGGGACGAGGTCTAAGAAGAAGGAACCGAACAAGTGTTCAAGATGCACGCAACCTGGGCATAATCGTACTAGTTGCACGAATCTGATATGAGTGATTTACTTGGAAATGTTTTGTTTATGTAAGGTGGGATTGGCGAATGGTTAGAAGGTCAGGTAGCCAGACTTTTAGATGAAGTGTTGTTTTTTTGTTGTGGTATTTATCTATTTGGTTGGTTATGTCAGTTATTTGGGGAACAGTGACGTTGTTGGTTTTTGTTGCTGATTGTTTGGAGTATACTTTTCTTTTGTGTTCGCTTTTTACTGATTTGTATTATATCTACTGGTTGTATATGGTGGACGTAATCGTGTTAATGTTTGATAAAATTGTGAGAAGGGTAATTAAACGGCAAACCTTTCATACGGATGGAGAGGTTTGATGGATATGTTTGGTGGACATAGACGCGTATACAATGAATGGTAACGTATTTTGTCATTTGCCTCACTTGCCTTCGTAAATATGTGTTGAACACAGAATTGCGATGTGTATTTGATGAAGTGTCTCAGAGCAGGGATAGGTGATTAATTTGTGGTGGAGACAATACACCAATCACTACAAAAAAAATAGCCCATTTGCGTCAGAAATTTGCGACAATGAAAGGTAGTCGCAATTTGCGACATTTCTTCTTTGTCGCACAATTTGCAATGAACCCTGTTCGTCGCAATGTTTACGACGGATTTGCGTTGACTTTTGTCCGTCGCAAAATTTGCGACGGTTTTGCGACGTTTTTTTATTTGCAGCTAATGATTTGTGATTTTTTTTGCTCCGTCGCAAATCCGCCGCTAAAGCCCTTTTGCGACGGACTTGCGACATATTCTTCCGACACAAATGGGCTGTTTTCTTGTAGTGAATGTGATGTAACTGTGGTGTTGGTTGTCTACATATCTTTGCGAGGATTTTGAAACTGATAGAGGTTATTGAGGTGGACGTAATCGTGATGGACATTATATTAATGGCACATGTTAAAAGTGTTCGCTGATAGCAAGAACGAGAATGAGTTGCGTAGTCTAGACAGATTGAGTTTTTTGTTTACTTATGTGGTATTAGTGTTTTGAATAAATTGTGTAAAGTGTAACTAAACGGCAATCGTTGCATACGGATGGGTATGTTTGATGGATAGGTTTGGTGGACATAGACGCGAGTACATTAAATAGTAACATATTTTGCCATTTGCCTTAGTGGCATTCGTAAATGTGTGTTGAACACAGAACTGTGGTATGTATGTAATGAAGTGTCTTCGAGTAGGGATATATGATTAATTTGCGGTGGAGACAATAGACCAATGTGATTTAGCTGGTGTAGCTAACTGTGTTGGTCATTGTCATGATGGACACAACAGTGGTGGACATATGTTGAGAGTCCAGTGGGAGTAATAATGTTAATGAGTTGATTACTGGAGAGAGGACGAGATGTATGAGTTGTCTGCTGATGGACATATCTGTCGGTGGACATATTTGTCGGTGGACGTATTTAGATAGTTTGATAGACATATTTATCGGTGGACGTATTTGGATAGTTTGAAGTGGCCTACATTTGGGAGATAGAATTACATTAAACAACATAAAAGAGTGTACATTTGGGAGATAGGAATGCAGTAAACTAGTCTTAGAAGGGAGAGTCTTGGGTGAACGGTTATTCTCTTCAGGGTGTGGCAAGATGAAAAATAAGTAAAGTTAAAGCTGTTAAAGCAAATAAGGGGAGTAGTATGAGTGAACGGAGGTTCCTTTCGTTTTGCTGCATGGGTGGAGCTTTAGCTGTGATTGGTTGTTGTTGTTGGTGTTGGGAAGTAGGTGACATAACTGAATCCCTGTTGCTGTCGTAGTTCAACTGTTGGGGTGGCGGTGGAGGGGGTAAATGCCGGGCGTGGCGTCGCATGATGTCTTGGTGGTGGCAGTCGGGGATGGAGCTGCGAAGAGAAATTATTTCTTGGAACTCGCAGCGTATCTTAGACCTGGGCCTCTATGAGGTTTTGTTTTTGCCACAAACTGGCGGGGTCAGCCCAGCAATAGAAACCGTGTTTGGGGCATTTGTAAAATCGTCTTCCGGGTTGTTCTCGGTCCAACATTTTGATTGGACGGTTAAGCGGTTGCAGAAGCAGATTGGGCCCTCAATATCTTCGATGTCGTATGATGTTTCGACGGAATCAGAGCCCTCGTCGTGGCTTGTGGGCATGGTTTCGAGATCGAGTGAAGAAGTTTGTAAGTGTGAGAGTGATATACATGACGAGGCTGTCTACTTTATAGGGGAAAGTGTGGCCGACGTTGGCAGGATAGGTAGACATCCCCTTTTAACCGAGGGGTAACGTTGAATTTATGAGACCCATGTGGGTTGTGTGTATGGATCATCGAGCCTTGCTAAACGCCTTTTGTACGAGTTATTTTCTTTCAAATCGTAACTGTATGTGGATGGATTATGACGCAGGTAAGGAAGTGGATGGACCATAATGGTACTGTGGACGCGTGACCAAACAAGTGAAGGCGTGGACTAACAAAAATCCAGAGAGGCGATATTATTGTTGTGAGGTTCACAGAATTTTCTGTTGGGCCGGTACGGATCCTGGCTGAGTAGTTGTAGCTTTCTGTATTGGCAGGAACCGTTAATCGAAACCTGAATGCTGGAGAAGTTGTTTGGTTGGTGTAAGTTGTTAAGCGTTACCCAGATATGTGTAACCATTTGTAGTTGTCCATGCGTTGACGGCATTTCTATTCAGTATAGTGGATAGTTTCCATAGGTTTATTTCTTATTCGTGTCTGTAGTGTGTTGTATTGAGGAAGCGATTAAAGGGAATTTGTATTGCGTAGTAGATTAAGAACAGCATTGACAGACGAAACAGGGTACCCGTGAAATCGATATGCGAATTAGAAAGAAAGTTTAATGAGTACACTACTATTTTCGGGGGGTGAAAAACAACAAAACAAGCAAACCCCCAATTACACATATTAAAAGTAGTATGAAGTGACGAAGTAGATCCTCTCTTTTCTTGTATGCACGAATCTGGAGTTGTTTTGTGTTTGTAGTGTAGCTAGTTTGTCGTTCCAGAGGGAGTCTTAGTTGGGTCCAGGATTTGAGTCGATGGCTTGATTGATTAATTGCTTATTGAGTTTTTAAGATTTTGACTTGTAGGTCGTTAATCTGTTTCCTCTGACGGCGGATCTGGTTTCTCGCTTCGAGCAAACTTTCTTTCTGCCACCCTCCCAGTTTTTCGGTGTCGTACCAGGCTAGAAACCCATGAGAGTCGCATTTGTAGTATCGACGGCCGGGGTTAGTGTCAGTCCATGCTTTAGAGACGACAGTACTGTTGTTGCAGTGGTAGAGAGGGGCGTTGGTTTGTTGTAGATGTTGTGCGCGGCATGAGCCAGATGTGGCGGTTGATGTTCGAGAACTGTTGGACATCGACATCGAGATTGATATTTAAAGACTTTGAGTTGAAAGTTAGAGAGTATTGTGACATACAACGGAGTGGTGTGTGGCATGGTTATATTGCCGGAGGTGTAGGTGTAGCAACGACCTAATGAGTGTCCACCAGTTATTGTACAGAAGGCGTTTAGATTTTTTAAGACTACTCTAGACATGTGTTGAAGTGTAGGGGTTGTGGATGGAGTGCAACCCGAATTATATCCATGATTGTATGTCCATGTTTGGCCGTGCATTAGAGATGAATGCAATAGAATTATTAAAGTTTTGAAGGATTGATAGAGATAGAGAGTTAGAAGAGAGAATGCATTACATAATGCTGTTATAAGCGACAAACCGCGGCTTTTCAAGTTTAGTGCCGATATGGGCCATGTACAAAAAACGGATTTAAAGGCCATGCGCCATTAACAAAAAGGGTGTGGAGAGTGAAGTTAGACGGTTGGATTAAAGTAGAGTGGGATTACAAGGTCGCGATATAGGTCTATTACATATTGCTTGCAGAAGTCATCCACTATTGCGTTAGTGAGCCAAAACATGTGTGGTTTCGGGTCTCCTGCGGCGTGCATCTCCATGAATTTTATGGCCACTGGACCACAGTCACTAGAGCGTGCGTTGACGTAGATATCCTGCACCACATGCCAAACATAGGGGGTAAGACCAGTACCTTGTGAAGCTTGTGGGCATAAGCTGTGTACAGTGTATGGTAGCATCTAGCAAATGGGGTGCATCCAAGTAGCAATCTTGTCTTTCAGCGATGGGAGAGGGTCTAAGATTTCTATGCTACCAATGCTTATGTTAATGGCCAGACCCACCCAGTGTTTCTTCTCACAGCACATGGGAACATACAGCGTTTGCGTGTCCTTCACCCATCTCGAGCCAGGGGCCTCTGCGATGGGTCTAAGCTCGTCTCATCTTAGACGTCTGGGAGCCTTTGCAGCTGAAAACTTATGTTGCTTGGCGAGGAAATATCCGATGAGACTGGGGTCGCAGAAAGAAACGACTTCTTCTTCTTCCATGGATATTTGTTTGGTCTGAAGCCATGCCATGAGAACCTCCATGTGCTGTTGATGGGATAATGCTATGGTCCGTTTGGAAATGGTAGGTGTTAATATGGTTGGAGTTACTTACCCTTGTAGATGTCCAGACTTTTGGTGCTGCGAGCTCAAGAAGGAAGTTGTTATCGAAGGCCCCATAATCTTTGGTGTAGTGCGTGTTGTTATTGGAGAAGGTTGTGTAAGCGGACCCGAGAAGTAGTAGCGTATTGATAGGAAAACCATACTTACAGAGATGGCATTGCAGAATGTGTCTGATTAAATAGATTCCACAAGTCGCCGTCAATTTCACGGACTAGCTGGCGGGAGGGTGAAGTTTTTTTACGCATTGCGCAGGCTAGGAGGGTCTCCATCTGAGATGGAAAGTGGGGCTGTCTTGTGGGTGGTGGAGAACCATACTGAGCTCTTATGTCTCTTTCTCGAGGACAACGCAACGCATATTGCGACGACAGTATAGTCTCGTTTTGGGCGGTGATGGTGTTCGTTTCGTAAGTACATGCACAAGAGCAATGATTGATGTCAATGATGGATAAGGTGGAGACGGTTATAAAGAATGAAGTCGGTTAGTTAAGTTGCATTAATTGGAAT